CTTACGCAAAGCCTCCTAAATTTTTAGTGCCTGCCAAATAAACGCTAAACGCCGGTCATCTTTGGCGACGCTGCCTACGTAGGAATAAAAGTTTTTGAACTTGGTCTTTAAGATAGGCGTTTGCTACTAATTTCAGAGGATGCCTTGTATTAAAAATATTGCTTGTTGAATGACAGCGTAATTTACGTAGGGTTAATGATAACTACGTTTACGCCTTTTAAAAACTTTTTTACGTTATTTTATGTTGCATATAAGCTTCGAAAACGTAAAAACCTATTTGAAGACACCCCTACTTGAGTGGCGCCACCACTGTAGTTCCGACGACCGCCACTTCCCAAGTGACCGCCGATAATTTGGCAGGCACGGGAAATATAGGAGGTGTTGCCCCAGGACAGATCTTGGCCATATTGGCCCTACACGTGACGTTTGCACGCATATGTAAGAATTTGCAAACTGTCAAAGCTCATTGTGGCCGCTGTGGCATTTTTGCCACAGATATGCACACTGCACGGCCAGGCTTTCTAGCCTAGCCCAGTTTTGCTTTCCAGCCCGGTAGTACCGGCGGCGCAGTTATGCGGCTTCGGCGACTAAATTAGCCTCCAAGTTGCTGTATATTAACTCTATGATACCCTACAAGTTGCGGCCAAGGAGTTTGCGGTTTACGATGCCCATGATCATGAGCCTTCACGGTCACGATGATGTAACAACTCTATGGATGGTGGGAAGAAAAATAAACTGAAAAAACAAAAGCGCCATGCAAAAAGAAAAACGTATCCGCCCAAGTAGCCTAACAAGCGACCTTCACATCAGAGCTAGCAAGGTTCAGTTCAAGTCAAAGAGTTATAGTTCAAAGCGTTCGCAATAGAGCGTATCGCATAGAGTTCGCAATAGAGCAAAGCTGTGCGCTTGCGTTGCGCATGCGTCGTACGCTCACCTCGTGCGCGCACCCATTGAGTCATGACTAAAGGCCTGACCACACACATTTGTTGCAGCGCGTTAGCGCGGGGCTTTTTGACGCGGCGCCGTGCCCTTTCTCGGTGAAGAGAAAGGGCGCTTGGCTACGCAAAGCTGCGCGCTTTCTTTCTCCATTTGGGAGAGGGCTCGGGGCCGCGTCAAAAAGACGCGCTGCAATTGATACGTTGGGTCAGGCCTTAACGCTAACTTACGCCCCGAACAGCTGCAAGCTTTGCGTGCGGTATAGCTCGCTCGATTCCTCTACGCTCATGATGGTGATAGATTGGATGTAGCCTCAAAATCAAGATGTCCTAGAGAACAAATATGCAATAAATGAATGTTCACATGGTTTCAAATGTTGGTTTGCAAATTTATCAACTCCTGGTACAACTTACAGACTGAAATTTGTATAGTTTATAAGTGTTGTTTTTCAGCAACGTGTGAATCTACAGCATTAGTTACTTAAAGCAGGCACCGCCGATGGCTTGTGAAGAAACTGCTTAATGAAATGTAGCATTCATTATTTAATGGAAACATTGCCACTTACACACTTTGCTAAATTCATTTGGAAAATAACGGGACCCTACCAAGCTCACTAGAGTTTCAAATCGCTAGCAGTCAAAACATGGGAACGACTCACTATTAAATATAAGACCACCTGATGTGCACTCAGTAAATTGGCATTACACTGCTTGAGCGAGGAATCCCAGCAGTGTGTCAGTATGCTTGTTTGGATTGCTTCATTATGTTTGTTCAATAAAAATTTAAAAAGCTCTCCACAATGGTGAGACCTACAGTCTGATAGTTGTGCCCGCACATAAAAATAAGCAAACTAATCCATTCCAGCTAGAGTCGTGCAGTTCAAACCACCACTACAGGAGACCTAATAGGGTTGCGTAGTCAAACCTTCAGGGTTACAGACTGTGAATTAGCTCGACTCTCCAAATGAAGCAGTCCCTATTGTTTGTTATGGGGCACTGTAGCAGCACTGCATACTATATACTGGGAAAAACTGAAAAACAGGTAACTTGCATCAACTGGTCTAATGGTACTACAGGTGTCGGTATCTGCATAAGGGTATGAACCTCAGTGAGAATTAAGACACCATATATTGCATATACTTTATATTTTGCCCGAGAATATGACCAACACCGAGAATCAGAGCATCTTTCGATAAGCAACAACTTAGACTCCAAATTGTGCTTGTGAAATAGGTTGCCCAAAAATAAAGCTGCAATACCTTGTCAGCAGCACCTGGTAAAAAGGTTCCAGCAAAGAGTGTTAACCTTGTGCTATTAATTTCAGTAGCCAAGACTTTCGGGTGTCACATGCAAACAGGGGGCCTCGCAACTGCCAAAATCTTTTTCAATTAGCTAGCAATATATTCTCCAAAAGCAGAGGCACACATGTATGCATGAGGTTCTACAGGTACATTTTCCTTGATCGAGGTGTGTCTACATTTGCATACTTGACACTGTATTCTCTAAAGTAAAATGCACGGATGCTTATGCTTCAAATTCCAGTGCCACATCTTTTCGTTGATCCAAAACATGCCTTTACCTACAACTGGCATTTCCCTAATGATTAATTATAACCTACTGGCACATTTACTCGCGTATTCATGCACCGCTGTCTTAAGAGTTGTGGTGCACGAACATTCAAAGCTGTGTAAAAAAATGTCATACTATTCAATTCATTTTTCATATAAGTTATAATTGGCAGAGTATTTTTACGAACAAACCTTGTACACTCAAACCTCATTATAACAAACTTGCATCTTACATAAAAATAAGTTTGTTATAGTATTCAAAAATTCACTCTAAAGGTTTATTTTTAACACTATATCTATTGCAACACTATTTTTCATTTATTTCGTTACAACAGATATTTGGTTATATCTGGTTACATTAGAACGATGTTTGAAGCATATATTTAAAATGTGAGCTGTCTACAATCAAGCATAATGACTGGAGGAAAAATTAATATCTAGTCTCAGCTGACATATGACTGGTATTGACCACAAGAGTGCAGCTTGTATACCTCAGAGAAGGAAACATTCACAAAATTTTGTGCACTTTCCGCAGAGTCCTGACATTCACCGACAAAAAAAGAAAAAGCTTATAGATGCAGTGTGCTACATTTGTGCTTTCAGAAAGAATGCCCGACAATGTGCAATATGCCATACTTCTATTGATAAGAGATGTGGACATTGTTCAGTATCAACTTCGAGAACAATTCTTTGTTACTCTAAAGCTATTTAATATGAATTTCATTCTATGAACTTCAAACAAATGCTTTAAAATTATTAACACTGCCCAAAATATCATTAACAACTACCTATTTCTGATCTTTCCGAAAATCCCATGACCTATTAGTGTTTTACAAATATTATTCTGTATTCTCGTACAGATATTAAACAGAAGGGGCACCACAAGTCAAGTGTCAAGAGCCGCCGAGTTTTTCTCATGAGCAACTTGCACAGAGAAGTTTGCATTCAAAAGTTGGTGTTCATATATACATACTCAAGTACTGAATCTCTCGTCTCACTTGCGCAACTTGGAGAGTTTGCCATATCAGCAAAAGCACTCTCGAGCTGAGGAGTGGTTGAAGTATTTCCTATATCAACTCCCGGAACTTCAAATCTTGAATAAACTGCTACGAGACGTGCAAGCTAGCCGTGAAGTTTTCAGCGTAGTCATGGTACTAAAGACTGATATTGTCTGCCTTGTGCCTATATTGCAAATAATCAACTGGAAAGATTGACCTAGTTCTAATTAACAACTGTAAATGGAGATGTCTGCAGCAGAAAAAGTGGATGTGACCTGAATCAGAACACAAGTAGGATGCAAATTTGAACAGAACATTCAGTCTTAAAGCTATGAGGCCCCAATGAGAGCAGCAAGGAGTGGGAGTGTTTGGCTAAGGAAAAGAGCAAATAGACCAGGTAGCCCTTATGTGCATGAAAACTGCAGCTACTGTACTAAGCATTTGCATGCAACAGTACAAGCATATATTGCAATAAAGTGAAATGCCAGTCATAATTTCCGTAAGACTGCCCTTCATTAGCCTTCGAAAGCTTCCTCCACATCACCCCCTTAACAAAATTTAGGGTAGAATTTTTTCACAATTACCGATAGAGTTCTGTTCCTAACAGTTTTTGGACACAATTGCAGGAGCCCTTCCAAAACTATTTTAGAGTAAGACCTTGCCCAATAAGTGATCGGACCTGCCAGTTCCCACAATTCTTTTGGACATTTCATGTAAAGCCTAGTTACACTGGATTTATGCTATAACGTATTTGTCACTGAAATGCATGTTTCAACAATGCTTTACAAAAAAATCCATGTATCTCCACAAAGCGAGTCATGACAAGCGGGCATAGCCGTTCTTACCATAAATCACCGGCGACGTTGCCCACTCGCGCATGTGAATGAGCGACCACGCGCTAGTTGTGTCGTCGGGGTCACCGCTGCTTCTCGAATGCCGACAACGATAGCGCGTTTGACGAAGATCACAAGCTAGCGCGTTTCTCCCCAACGAGCTAGCTTGCGATCTTCATCAGCCTCGCCTTTAGTGGGCAAAAGCGCGTTCACGTTCGTTTTCATCTACGGCAGCAAGAATGTGTGGTCTGGAACGTGCTTGTTCGTCTTGGCATACAGTGGGTACAGACGCACAACAGACAAGCTCATCAGCATCACCGACACCATGATGCATAACAGGTACCTTGCATTGTTATCAGCATCACTCTTCACCATGAGAACGGACAACACACAATGGACAAGCCAGAATCCTATGATGCTTCACCCTTGATAGAATTGCAAGATTTAGGAGCAGAGCTTGCACCCACCCATTACCATTCGGACTCCAACACATTAAAAGGAACATTTTAAAACTATCACTAGTTAGATATGGGACTTCCATATTGAGTAGCTACTTGCATTCGCATGTTGAGATGTACAACGCTCACTTCAGAGAAGCTTTTCTCAAAGCTTAGCTGGACAGCAGCCAGACGTAGCTTTGCGAACACGAATAAGTTGCAGTGCACATTGGGAGCAGCCATGTAAAGGCAACATATCGCCATCTTTATTATGAACACTGAAAACTAGCAACAAATGTAGAGGAGAAAGTCCACCAGGCACTATTTCAAAGCAAGTCAACGTTCATCTATAACATCCATGGCATTGCGGGGAGCCCCTAACGCCAATGTAGAAATTACGTTACTCGCAGCACAGTTGCATTTCGCACACCTCGAGCTAGTTATCTGTAAGGCAAAAAAGGCACATGCTTTACGAGAAGCGCAGAAATGGACGAGACACAAGATGAGATGAGACTACACGAGCGCAGCAGTTTTCTCTCTTCCGTCTCATCGGTTCTTGTGCTCCAATCTTTTCCGCAACGAACCAGCACGCCCAACAAAGCATTCTATTATTCTTCACGAAGACCGAAAGCATTGTTTACCTTCCATAAGCCTTCATAAACTGAGCTTTATTCTTGCCTTATTTTTGAGACATAAACATACAAAAAAGTGCTCAAGAAATGTCGAGCAGAAGAAAATCTTACAAAAATCTTTTATTTTGTTCTTGAGCAATAATGACCGAAACCTGCACGCACGTCTGCGGCAAGGCCAGGTCCGGGTGAAGCGCAACCATTTTGAACGTATTACTACTTTGCCACGTGCACAGCACATGGCAAAGGATCGCATGGTGCAAAAAAAAAATAGTTGAGAGACCAGTTTATATCACAGTCACCGGCAAGACAGCTTCGTAAGTGACACCGTAGAGAAACCAAGAAGCCAAGATGGCATTTGGCACAGGAAAGCACAAACTTGGGACACCACTTCTTAGATGTGCCCAGAGATCAGACAGCCCCAACCGACCTCACATACGGCACATTTTCGAGCCTGGTGGAGCCCAACACAATGGACTAGTGCTCGCTCTCTTGGAAAAAAAAATCTAAAAACTTTGTACAGAAAGCATGCATGCCCTCATATACAGTCTTCTGTAAATCACGACGAACAAACTAAAGCAAGCATAAAAACAATTGAAAGTAGACTGAAAACAATGTTGAAAAGAAAAAGAAAAAGAAGGCATGACCACGTGCAGTGTTCTTGCTGGAGCTGCAGTACTTTCAAGGAGATGCTGTCTCCACGGGCAGAATCTTCTGTGCTCATCTGAAAGTTTTTTAAAAACTTTCTGTAACACTCGTTCAAACAGCCTCTTTTAGTGAACATATAATACACTTGTTTTGACATATGGTTGAATCTTGATATGAATCTCATGGGTCACGAAAAATATTGCTATCAGCCAGAACTGAAAACAAAGCGATCAAGCCAAGTTAGTATGTTATTTCTATGCCTCTACGTTGCAAAAGCATATTGGTAAGTTGTTTATTAAGGGGAAGAGGCACTTAGCCATCAGGCATCTTACTATTTAAGCTAGGGTGATGAAAACTTACGAGATGCTGTATTTACATGTGCAGATGTCAAATATGAACTCAGTTTTTATGTACCTCTTATCATTTTGTTTTAATTAGCCATTAATTGAAAGATCTTTTGATCACCTTTTCAGTTAATTGGCTAGGACAGATCTTGCTTAATTAAATGTCACTGCATTCTACTATCAGCAAAGAGTGCAAAAAGCAAGTTTCATGCTCTAGCTTTCCCACAACAAAAGTTATGAGGTTTAGAAGTTCATCCTTCCATTATCAAGGAACGATAATTTTGTATTTCATTTTTTCTAAAATTTATGGTGTCCTATAGTTGCATATGGCCCTTTCTTGCACTCACTAAGCATCTAGCTTCTCATCAAGATAAAAATTATCGAATTGCAGTGTACCAAAGCTGAGAAGCGCTTGTCAGAAGAATGAAAGGTGGCCAAAAAACTGAAACTGAGAAAATGGCAAAAAACAAAGCTCTGTATTTTCAATAAATTCTACACAAACAAAAATGCTTCTCTTTGCATATAAATGCCTCAGAAAGCACCAGGGCAGTAGTCTCTCACACTTTTGTCGTTGCCGCTGCTTTGCTTGTAGCAGGAACCTGGAAGATGCTGAACGCTTTCGCTCGGCACTCATGATCCGACGAGAATCCTTCTCTTCTGCCCATTGCTCGCTCATGGAGTTTTGCTCTAGCTGAAGTTCTTTGAGGATACGTGTGGAGGCTTCTCTCATTCCTGAATTGAGGCGCATCACGGCCTCAGCAACTGCAGTCTCAACAGCTATGAGTGAAGCATGCTTCTCTCTAGGCATTAGAGACCATATGACAGAATGGAGTGCCTCGTTTGCACTTTGTGTCTTGCCTCTTTGGCAGCGTTTTAGCAGCTCCTTGTCATTAAGTCACTCGTAGACTGGAAGTAGTGCATCATGGACATTTTGTGGAAAGTTGTAGGTGTGCCTTGGCAGCGGTTCTCCCCTTGCAGCAGCAGCATTCTGCTTGCACCATGAGTCACTGCCACTTGGGCACAAGGTGTGGTTGGACCTTTCATCAGTCGATGTCACGTGATAATATGTGGCCATGGCTGCCCGGTGCATTGCATTTACGTCACCAACATTGTACTTCAGAGCCCAGCCATAGTATCTCGACAATCTCTCTATGACATCATTTGTCAAGTAGCCTCTTCCACTTGGTGTTTCACCAGAACCTTTATGCTTTTGAAAAAGACTGCGTAGTGCAGTACCCATTAGTTTTTGGACATGGTTTATACAGTCCTCTTTTTGAACCTGTCATCATCATCATCATCAGCCTGACTACGTCCACTGCAGGACAAAGGCCTCTCCCATGTTCCGCCAGTTAACCCTGTCCTGTGCTTGCTGCTGCCAATTTATACCCACAAACATCTTAATCTCATCTGCCCACCTAACCTTCTGTCTCCCCCTAACCCGCTTGCCTTCTCTGGGAATCCAGTCAGTTACCCTTAATGACCAGCGGTTATCCTGTCTACGCGCTACATGCCCGGTCCATGTCCATTTCCTCTTCTTGATTTCAACTATGATATCCTTAACCCCTGTTTGTTCCCTAATCCACTCTGCTCTCTTCTTGTCTCTTAAGGTTACACCTACCATTTTTCTTTCCATTGCTCACTGCGTCGTCCTCAACTTAAGCTGAACCCTCTTTGTAAGTCACCAGGTTTCTCTCCGTAGCTAAGTACCGGCAAGATACAGCTGTTATATACCTTCCTCTTGAGGGATAGTGGCAATCTACCTGTCATAATTTGAGAGTGGTTGCCAAATGTGCTCCACCCCATTCTTATTCTTTAGTTACTTCAATCTCGTGGTTTGGCTCCACGGTTATTACCTGCCCTAAGTAGACAGTCTTTTACAATTTGAAGTGCACTATTACCTATCTCGAAGCGCTGCTCTTTTCCGAGGTTGTTGTACATTACTTTCGTTTTCTGCAGATTAATTTTAAGACCCACCTTTCTGCTCTCCTTGTCTAACTCCGTAATCATGAGTTGCAATTCGTCCCCTGAGTTACTCAGCAATGCAATGTCATCGGCAAAGCGCAGGTTACTAAGGTACTCTCCATTAACTCTTATCCCTAACTGTTCCTATTCTGGGCTTCTGAAAACCGCCTGTAAGCACGCGGTAAATAGCATTGGGGAGATTGTGTCCCTCTGCCTTACACTCTTCTTGATTGGTATTCTGTTGCTTTCTTTATGAAGCACTATGGTAGCAGTTGATCCCCTGTAGATTTTTTCCAGGATGTTTATATATACTTCATAGACGCCCTGAATCCGCAGTGTCTGCATGACTGCTGAGATTTCTACTGAATCAAACGTCTTCTCGTAATCTATGAAGGCTATGTTTAGTGGTTGGTTATATTCTGAGCGTTTCTCTATTACCTGATTGATAGTATGAATATGGTCGATTGTTGAGTAGCCTGTTCGAAATCCTGCTTGTTCCTTTGTTGATTGAATTCTAATGTTTTCCTTACTCTGTTAGCAATTACCTTTGTAAACAGCTTGTATACTACAGAGAGCAAGCAGACCGGCCTGTAATTCTTCAAGTCCGGAAATTTTTTAAAACCCTTGTCATCTCCTTTCTTATGTATTAAGATGATGTTAGCGTTCTTCCAAGACTGGTATTCTTCCCGTCTAGAGACATCTCGTAAACAGGGTAGCTAGTTTTTCTAACACAATCTGTCCTCCATCTTTCAGCAGATCTGATGTTACCTGACCCTCACCAGCAGCTTTGCCTCTTTGCATGCTCTCCAAAGCTTTTCTGACTAATTTATCATTACTGATGGGGTGTCATATGGGTTACTGCTAGTTCTTATAGTATTAAAGTCGTGGTTATCCCGGCTACTGTACAGATCTCTGTAAAACTCCTCCGCTATTTCAACTATCCTATCCATATTGGTAGTTATTTTGCCTTCTTTGTTCCTTAGTGCATACATCCAATTTTTGCCTATCCCAAGTTTCCTCTTCACTGCTTTGACAATTCTTCCGTTTTTCAGAGCGTGTTCAATTCTCTCCATGTTATACCTTCTCAATCGCATACCTTACACCTATTAATCAACTTGAAAGCTCTGCCAGTTCTATTTTACCTGCTGTACTTGAGACTTTCATGATTTGATGCTTCTTAATGAGATTCTTCGTTTCCCGGGAAAGCTTGCCAGTGTCTTGTCTAACTACCCTGCCTCCAACTTCCACTGCACACTCCATAATGATACTCGTCAGATTATCATTCATTGTATCTACGCTATTGTTGGTTTCCTCACTAAGAGCCTAGTACCTGTTCTGAAGCGAGACTGAATTCCTGTACTTTCCCCTCTCGGTGCTAGCTCATTGATTGGCCTCTTACGTATCAGTTTGTGTTGTTTTTTCTTCAAGTCTAGGTGAATTCGAGACCGTACCATTCTATGGTCACAGCATCGTACCTTGCCAACCACTTCCACATCCTGCACGATGCCTAGGTGTGCACTCATTATAAAGTCTATTTCGTTCTTATTTTTGCCATTAAAGCTCCTCTGTGTCCACTTACGGTTTCCTCGTTTTCGGTAGAAGGTATTCAAAATCCGTAAATTATTGCGTTGTGCAAATTCTATTACTAGCTCTCCTCTGGTATTTCTAGTACCGATGCCATAGTCTCCTACTGCTTGGTCTCCAGCCTACTTCTTCCCTACCTTTGCATTAAAGTGTCCTATCAGTATGGAATACTGTGATACTGTGTTTTTACCTTACTCATTGCCGATTCCACGTCTTCATAGAAGCTTTCAACTGAAGTGTCATCATGGCTGGATGTAGGCACGTAAGCCTGTACCACCTTCATCTTGCATCTTTTATTCAGTTTAATTACGATACCTACCACCCTTCATTATAGCTATAGTATTCCTCTATGTTGCCAGCTATGTTTCTGTGAATTAGGAACCCCACTCCCAGTTCTCTTCTGTCAGCCAAGCCCCTATAGCAAAGGACGTGCCCATTCTTTAACACCGTATAAGCCTCATCTGTCCTAACCTCACTGAGCCCTATTATATACCATTTAACACCCTCTAGCTCCTCGAATAGTACTGCTAGAGTTCCCTCACTAGATAAGGTTTTAGCGTTAAATGTTGCCAAGTTCAGGTACCAATGGCGGCCTGTTTGGATCCAGAGATTCTTAGCACCCTTCGCTGCGTTACAGATCTGACCGCCGCCGTGGTCAGTTGCTTCGCAGCTGCTGGGGACTGAGGGCCATGAGTTATTTGACGCATGCATGTGGGAAGTAGTGGTCAGATACTGCACCAGGGTGGCCAATCCTTCTCTGGTGAGGGAGTGCGTTCCCGGCGGTGGTTACCGGTGAGGCCGCACCCCAGTCCTCTTAATGCAGTTCCATCACCACGCGGATTTTTTTTTTCCGGTTGGGAACTGCACGGCGCCGAGATTTGAACCTCGGACCTTTTGCATACGAGGCAGATGTTCTAACCACTAAGTCATCGCTGCAACTTTTGAACCTGTATGAAACGATAAACTGTGGAGTCTTCAACAGCATGAAATGATCTACTGTCCCCATCACATGCCATCACTGTGTACCGCAAGCCGTGACGGGAAATTGAGCGCTCAAAGAGAGTGACTGCTGCCTCCACTCCCATGTGGCCCGATCTTCACTGTATTTTTCTGCGCGCTTGCGGCCGGCACAAAAATTTGACAGGACAACATAGTCTAAAACATAGCCAGAAAACAGCTCTATAACAACACCCACACCAATGTGCGACAGGTGGCCTCTGGTTATCCATGTACCATCCCTGTTATCCATGTACCATCATAACAGATGGCCACATTACCTGGGTTGTCAAAGCACAGATCTTAGTATAATGTTTTCACTGACATGGAGCAATCAGAGAGGACCTTGTCTGCAGCTCTTGTTGACACAGGATTCAGTTTATTTTTCAAATGGCTCTGTTAGCTTTTGTGGTGAAGTCCCCTGTGAGAAATTCCAATTACAGAGAAGATGTCGTTTAGGGCTGCCTGGCTATTCCCTGTGCTTTGCACGGCACGAGACGCACGGATATTGACCTCGAATGCAGCGCATTTAGCCTGACTGGGTACCCTGCCAGAGCTCCACTCACTGTCAAGTCCACAGTTGCGGCACTCTGAAATCAGCTTCATCACAAGTCCATATTCATGCTCACCTTTTTCAATAGAAATGGTCCCACTGCATCCCAAACTTGTGAGCGGTGCGAACTTGCGATACGGCTTCGGCATGATGAAAGGTTCAAGCCAGGTTCAAAAGGTGGCCGAGAGCGTAGGCCTGCCTAACGCACTCGCCCGGTGGTTGCGGCGCGCTTCATCAGGCTGGTTCGGCGGAGTGTCTGAATGTGCAGACTTGAGAAACGCTTGCTCCAATTTCTCGCTAGCTCGCGCGGTTTCAGGAAGCCGATGAGAACAAAGACATGTGAGTGAGACACACTCGCAGCTTAAAAGGTATGTTCTATGTTAAAAGGTATGTTCTAAAGGTTATAAAGGTATGTTCTAAAACTATTGCAAGAGTGTTCTTTTACTTCGTTATAACTAATATTTTGTTACTTCCGTATTCGTTATACAGTCGAGCCCGACTATATCGAACCAGTTTATATCAAATTATCCCATATATCGAACAATTCCTAAACACGGTAAGTTTACATTGAGAATATATAGCAAAAGTTACTGTTTTATCGAACGAAAATAGCAACGACAACTGATATATCAAACTCCATGTGCCTAAAATGTGCCTCAGCAAGCTGGCTTTCCCTCGCGGTGGCGGGGTAAACTGCCGGCGCCACCCTAGAAAAAGTTTGTTAGACCCGGTTGTGTGCGGGAGAACACCCCCCTCCAAGAAATGATCCTGGCCCGCTCGCAGCGCTTACAGCCAATCAGAGGCCTACGTGCTTTCTCAGAGGCGCGGAGGCAGTAGAAGTGAGCGCCATTTCTTCTTTCTTTATGCTTGTGTGCCTGCTGCTGCCGATTCAGCATGATCTGTGGTGTTGCCGGTTGGTGCTCTGTGAACTGTATTTGCGCGCTGTGATCGTGGCTTGCGCAAAGAGGCAAAATTTGCCGTTCGCCGTGAAACTCGAAATCATCAATCGGGTTGAGCGCAGTGAAAAGAAGTCCGACGTTGCCGCCGCATACAAAATTCCAAGGAGCACCTTGAGTACTATCCTGAAGAACAAGGCAGACATCAGGGCCAAGTCGACAAAAAGCCAGGTGCCCGTGGCGCCCGCGACGTGTGCGCGCTGCTGTGTTACAAGTGGTTTGTGGACGTTCGGTCGCGAAACATCCCGGTGTACGGCCCTATGATCGAGCAGAAAGCCAAGGACCTTGCTTTTCTGCTTGGCAGGAATGATTTCCAAGGCAGGTTCAGGCTGGCTTCAGCGGTTCAAAGAACGGCACGACATCGTTGGCAAAGCTGTTACCGGTGAAAGCAGAGCGGCGGACCTGGACAGCGTAGAAAAATGGCTTGAGGAAAACTGGCGAGATATCGCAGCAAGATATAGAGCCCAAGATAGCTTCAATGCAGATGAAACCACTCTATTTTGGCAAAAATTGCCAAACAAGACACTTGCGTCTCGTGGCGACAAGACAAGCGGCGGCAAGGCAAACAAAGCTTGTGTGTCCGTGCTGTTGGCAGCTAATTTAGACGGATCGAAAAAGCTTCGTCCTCTGGTTATCGGGAAAAGCACGCCACCGCGGTGTTTTCGAAATGCGCTGTCGCTTCCAGTTACCTACCGAGCAAACTCAAAAGCGTGGATGACCGGGGAGCTTTTCAGCAGATGGCTATCGTCGTGGAATGAGGATTTGGAAGGCGAAAATCGCAAGGTGTGCCTGCTCGTGGACAATTGTTCATCGCACCACTGCTGTACGACCTTCAGCAACATCGAGCTGCGTTTTTTGCCCCCGAACACTACGTCTCTACGGCAACCACTGAATCAAAGCATTACACGTGCTATGAAAGCCGGCTATCGGAAGCGCCTGGTGGAGAGGCTGCTGCAGAACCTTCTTGTCGGCAGGGAGCTTAAGATCGACTTGCTCGGAGCTATTTCTATGTTGAGTAGATCGTGGGCAGATGTCAAGAAGGAGACGATCCAGAACTGCTTTAGGCATGCCGGCTTCCGCATGCCTGGTGATGACACCCCAAATTCTGACAGCACTGAAGACACTGCAGGTGGTTTTGCCGAAGTTTGGAACGATCTGGCAGCTTTCCCGGGTGCTATCGACGGATCGACATTCGACGAGTTCGTCAGTGCGGACGATGATGTCCCCATCATGGGCCAATTACAGGATGAGGATTACATTGCAGACGTCGTGCCGACCACGAGCCAAAGCGACAGCATATAGAAATCGACGACGGCCCATTGCCTACATCCTCCGAAGTGATTAGTGCACTTGAGTTGGTCCGGCACTATTGCTTGAATGTGGAAGGTTGCGGCCTCAGCTGCTCCGACTCGTTGGACAACGTGGAGGCGTGCGTGCTGTCGCAGGCAGCGAAGTCGTTGACACAGAAAAAAATCCGGGACTATTTTGTTCCACAGTAGGGCACGCAAGTAAGCCACCATATTAATAAAGTACTTTTCTTCTAGTTTGTTATGTGCCTTTGTGTCAGAACCTATACCGGGCCTATATCGAATTATGCCATATATCGAACTAATAAACATTTCTTGGCGAGTTCGATATACCCGGGTTCGGCTGTATGTGGATTTGAATATTCGTTTGCATGTAACCCCCTGTAAAGATGAAGGAAAGAAGTGGAAATTTAAGGGCTCATTTTCCTCGTTAGACAATTATTAGAATTTTTTTTCATATAAATATGTGTCTTTGTTCTCATTATATTGCCCCCATAAAGGTGGTTTTGCCGCAACAAAGAAGCGCAACGTAGAAGCCACGAGAACACTTATCCATGGGAAATCCACCCTGCAGTGAAGCCCCACTTCAACATTAAGTGAAGATATTGCTCTTACATCAATTCACTTCCATTGAAGCCAAAAAAAAAAAGGCATTTGCACAGGCCTTCTTTTAATTTTTCTTTAAACATTGAGCAGATTAGTTACAAATATGCCCATTTATAATATGCAATATATATTTGAATTCGATTCAAATGATTAGACTTTTTTAACAACACTAGTATTTGCTTTGAATTCACTTCAAAACTTCATAAAAGAAGGCTCAATTCTCACAGCACTACAAAAGGACACACATGGGACGAAATGCCTTTTGTTGTCCCATTCAGGTGCTTCATTTCATCAAGTAGGCTTCACAAACTGGCCCAAACCTCTAACTCTTCTAAAGCCGGCTATTCTCACAAGGCTAGTGACAACACATTTTGATGTCGTATATTGGGTTCTTTATAGTTTCTAATCAGTAAAAATAAACACATCGTTCCTTTAGGAGGCAAAAGAATTAATTTACAATGTTTGGGGAATTTCTTTGAGCCAATGTAGCCTAAGTACAATAAAACTTGGAAATGTGTGACATCGTGCACAAAATTTGAAAGCGAGATTCAGACCTAGATTTTCTCCTGCATTGACCAAGCTAGGATGGCAAAATAACTACATTAGAGTGGTAAATGGTACTCTGAGAACGCTCAACAGATTCCCTATTTCACTTATGTCCCCTAAAGGGACACTGAAATAATGTTTACTTCGGAGTGAAAGATCAACGTTGGAGAACTAAAATGTTATTATTGTCAACAACAGTGCTCTGCGTATCGAAAAACTAAGGTAAATGCACAACACTATCCACGCCACGAATGGGACATTTTGAAATTATCTCAATGACATCAAAGCGTCCGACTACAATTAACTACTAGTAATCAAACTGGTCGCATTAAAAAAAAGGAACCTACATTATAACACGTCTGCTTCTCCATTAGAACCGCTTGGGGTTACGGCGGGGGAACGGGGAAAAGCTGCTCCTGCTTACATATGGGCGTGCAGCATTTGCACTACCTCCATCTCCTCAGCTGTGAACTTCCAGTGGTACTACATGCATCCTGCCGGCACCCTCACTACACAACACTACGTGATGAAATGAGGGGTTGCGCACCATCAAGCCCCCCCTGGCAATACCAAGCATGCTGCAATGCTTTATTGTCAGTACTTACTGCACGTTGTTTTGCATGTGGCCGAGCACAAGTGCCACGATGTGGTTGAAGGTCATTCGCGAGAATCCGCCCTGGGACTGGCGCACGCAGTCCACGTGCCTGCGTAGCTCTTGCCTGCACCCACAGGTCAGAATTAGTCTCGGTACCCTTATTTCACCGACTAGGCGTGCACAGACAACTCTCGACAAACTAAACAGGACACCTCCCACCAAGCCCTCAAAAAACCTGGGACGTTTAGGTCTCCGATCCATGCCACTTCCACAGAGTAGACATAGCATGAAGCAACATAGGGCTGACTAATTTTAATGGAAAACCGATTTTTCGAAGCAGAGCTATACCCAGACATGAAGCATTAGCTTTGGATTCAGATCCGAGTAAGTTTTTAGTATACAAAAACCAACTGATACAACAGCGGAGTTGGTATTTCCTCCCCAGGGCTAGGAATTTACTTTGCTTGAGAAATTGGAGTAATCTTTATCTATATTTACACACAGCTGACCCTGATCGTAAGGAAGTCACCTAGCCCTAATAGCTTCGTTCTTGGAAAAAGGATGCCACAACCACAGAATCGCTATGTGACCGGTGGTGCTATGGAGGACTCTAGATTTGGAGCAATTTCTGTAGCAGCAAAATTTTTCTTCAGGAGAACTTTAAAGCAGCCAAAAGTTCCATCTTGAAGTACTTTGGAGCAGGTAATTTCACATCCTGTAGAACATTGGAGAAGCAAGTTCATTTGCATTCAAGCATTAAAACGATTATAGGCTCTTACGAAAAACTAAAAGCCAGTCAGATTAGGTCACGCGCTGTCTAGTCGGAATCACTGATCGAGAGGTCCGATTGAGAATCATCGTCGCGGCCGCTGTCACTGCCATCCCAAAGCGCGTTGGCCTCCGTTTTGGCCAGCGCGTTCGAATTTCCCATTTTATGGAAGCTTTTTCTCGACAAAGCTGGGAGAAACTAGGTCCCACGACACGGCGATACCGATGAACCTGAGCGTTCGCACATAATTGAGAAGGCCTTCTTCAGCACCAGGAAACCTGCATTAGCAAGTGCGCACTCTTTCGCTTTCTCCCATACCGATCGCGCCGGTCGACACACGTCGAAGAACTTCATGCTGGAGTGCTTGGCGGTGGCACGATTGCGGTTTTCTTCGGCCAACTTCACAACAGCGAGCTTGAATTTTGCTGTATACATTATTACTGTAGCCCATCGCAAGAGAACAGTAAAAATGCGAAGGATGGATGGCGAAACCTAAACTTCCAAAATCAACCAAGCACGCGTTGCAGAGCGGACACAGAGAGCCAGGGGAACAGTTGGCACAGCAGGCCGAACTGGCGCTCGCACGCCTCCGGTGCCATAGTTGCCCGTGTCGTGATGCAAGCGTGCATTATCACGGTGGTAGAGATGGAGAGAAAGGGGGCAAACGCTCAAGCAGTTCTGGCTACCCGTCAACAGGTTTGAGAGTTCGTGCACGGTATTCTAGGAACCCTAGTTCGGGGAACGCCTCGGAACGAAGGACTTCGCACTCGCAGCCCATTTGGCTGCGCTCGCCTCAACGGGCGTGCCTACCTAAAGAATCCAAAGATCCAAGGCCCCTTCGTGCACGTGCCGGCGAGCTGACTCGGGCGGGTTGGGGAGCGCAAAATGTGCGAGTAAATATTTTTTTCCCCGTAAACATGACAAAATATTAGGGGTGCACAAATCATGCGAGTAAATACGGTACATCTGCGTAGTTATCAGCAGAAGTGGTAGACAAATGTCGCGACACACAACAGTGTCAACGATACAGATTACACTGTCGCCTAATGCTCCCCCCCCCCCCAAGAGTACACAAAAGTGAAAGCCAAGTAGTTTTTCTCCTCTATTAATTGTGTTGCTGAGAACTTCACGACATAACTTAGCGGGGCTTAGACAGCCAACTTTTTCAGACACTCCTTTCTCTCTCACCGAGTGCTCTTTGTACTGTAGACAGCCAACTTTTGCCAGACACTTCTTTCTCTCTCACCGAGTACTCTTTGTACTGTAGCAAGAGCGTTTTCGCAGCACTTCCACAGTATCACTGGCGCATCCACTAGGCTGACTTGAAGGTCGAGATCTGCTTTCAACCCGGCATCAGCAATGTGTCCGAAAATGCTTTCAACATGAAGTCTACATAATATAACAAACTTGGTTTTCCTTTTACAATGAAGTTGTATACTACTATTACACGGTTTCTGAAAGCGGTTTTCTAGGGGTTTAACAAGTCCCTCTTCAGACTTCTGCGAGCCACTGATAAATTCCCTGGTTACGTGCTCATCAAGTAACTTGGATGGCGAACCGAGGTGTGATAGATGATCTAAAAAACTGCTATTACTCACACTCACATGTGAATGAGCACGTCTCGAAGTACAAAATGAACGCGCGAGCTACGCAATAATGCTCACTAGCAGCTTGTAGTGAGCCAGACTCCGAAAACGAGCCAAGTGGTCAAGTTATTGCACAAGAATATCCGAGGTTTTGTATAAACCCAATGCGCACTTCTCCTGTTTGAAGATGGGTGCCAAAGATAAGGCAGTAGACATGCAGCAGTCATTTGCAACAACATATGCTCGTCATACTAGAACATTATGAATTCAGCAGTGATCCAGCCAGTTTATAATTTGGAGCAATTTTTGGAGCAAAAAAAAGTGTTTTGGAGCAGATTTGGAGCAGGAGGAACTGTGTATTGGAGCAAATCTGGAGCAGACAAAACAAAATTTAGGATCATTTGATGCAAAACATTCATAATATTCGGAGAATGTTCTTATTAGTGCGCTGCAATTTAGACAAGGCCGACAAATGCTGCTGTATTTGGACAGGGCCAACAAATGATGCTGAAGTTTAGACAAGGCCGACATCCAGAGAGCAGCCATTAATTAGGTTTTTAGCACCCAAGTCAAAGAATGAAGGCAAAGAAAACTATCATTGCAAGTGAGAACATACTCTGACCATCTCTGCAGCCGTCAACGCGAAAATAATGTCAAAGAGTGTTCCTGGAGCGGCCATACTCTTAAACCAGAGTTTTGTAAGTACAGTTGCGTAATATCGGTTCCCAAAGAGTGAGCTGCCAACCTCATTTCTATAACATTGCAATTTGTTGCTATCACATTCACTGCTTCACCCTTGTGGTGAACAGACTTTTTTTTTGTCATATGGCGACAACACGGATTGTTCTAACGTCGTTGCAGATGTGTCAAAGCACTTCTTTATTAGTGACTGATCTCACCACTCAATTTATATTTGCACTGGCTAGGCATCCTGTTCAGTTGATTTCTTTATAGAGACGTGCGACGAGCGCTCGCATATGTGCGATAAACATGTAGTAGCACCACATTGCGCTAGATGCGTTCTACGTAGATATTTAGGCTTAACTTTACGATAGGCATACCAAAGAACGTTGAGCAGCGCAATTAAGAGGCATCAACTTCTTTGCGAAATATCGAACAAATGTTTTACGGCCAATTTGCTTGAATAGGCCGTTCATAGCGCGCAGTGCCGATACCTGCAGCCAATTGGCCACTGGTGGCTACGTTAAGGTATGCGAAGTTAACTCGTGAACGAGGGGGAAAAATAATAAAAAGACGTTACGCGATATCGCGGGTTCCGTAACAAACAAGACAGGCTACCAATGGCACGATAAACTTTCACTAACAGAAAGACACAGGCGGCACCGATACTTCAGTTACGCTGAATATAATGACAAAAAGCACATTGCTGGAATGGAGCAAGTAGAGGGCATTGGCGGCATTATGGAAAGGCGCTAGTTGCGTTTGTTATGACCAATATTTTTAGGCCAGAAACGGTCCAATGTAAACAGGTAAACCAGTAAACTCAGGCGCAGTAGGCGCAAGCTGTACTTGAATGTGCGCAGCAAGGTGCAGGGATAGGGAATTGTAGCAAAATGGCACAATTGAAACTGTTGGATCACCCCTGTGAATTGTGCACATTGCAATAGGATCTTTGAATAAATATATTAAACATTCCCTTTATTTTGCCTATCTCGTTCACCTATGAATTTAAATTGTTCATTAGTACCTCTGAAAGCTATGCAGTTTTCATGCATTTTCCAAATGGGAGCACACTGACAGGCATTCTCTACATTAGCCTACATGACAAATGAGCACAGGAATCTGCTGAATCTAGCAGTTGACATGTGACTGGGCCTGACCGTTATTGAGCCTCACATTGATTTGTTGGTTCAAGGCAAGAGACTTCAATTGCAAGTCAGAGAACAAATTTTTCATATACCATTGATTTTGAATTTTTTGCATGTGAAGGTAGCGTTAGCCAAATGAAAAATGCATGAAAGCTGTGGGGGCGAGAGGGGGGATCCCTGGGATTAACATGCTCGAGAACCCCTCGGCTAGAAGAAAAAGCCCCTGAATGAAAACATCTATTGTAAATTGCTCCTATCCTCTCCTGCGCTTTCCTTTGACACCCGGTGCTGCGATTGGCCAAATGCCATCACATGCCTATTGCATGAGTTTTCTTTTGTCTTTCTTCTCCTAGGGCTCGACCTCCAAAGTGGTGCCCAACATTATGAGCAATAAGATTAGCATAGAAAAATAGCAATATGAAAATAAAACTCACTCTGAATAGTCCGGCTTCTTCTTCTTTAACATCATTACTATTTTTGCAATCTGCAGTTCCGTCTGAAGCAAAAAAAAATTACATTGCATTAATGGCATTCTTGAATTTCATACACGACACACAAGAAGAGAACAGCTTCAGTTTTGTAGGCATTAAAATTTAGAGGCAAAAAAAAAAAACTTGAACGAATATAGTGGGCAACTGCAGTGTTAGTCTCAGTAAGACTTTTAGGATTGAAAGAGCACTGAAAGCCTGAACAGAAAAAGAGAAGGGTCCCTACAGAAAAATATTCTGCAAGTGCCAAACTTTGTGCTGAAGCTACCATGCGTAATACACAGAACATGTCACAGGCATTTTGGTGATGATGCTGCTATAAGCAAAAAGGATGAGATTCTCCTGGCTTCTTTCCAACAAGACAAACAATTGTGGTGAACGACACTTCCCTAAAAACACCAGTGTCTAAACATGCAGGGCCATGCTTTGCCCTGCGGTGAGATTTGGGAAGCCAGCAGAAACCCAGACAGCAAATTTTCACACGAATGTGAAGGCATGCAGATTTTTCGATTTCACAAAACTTTTTGCTTTATCTTTTGTGGTGGTCAATAGAGGCATTAGGCATGTGCCTTCTGCACTTCTTGAACCATTCTACATAAACAGACGACGACCGTTCGTGGGACCCCTCAGAAAAGTCAACTTCATGATTCTGCATTTAGGTCACCTCCGATTATAGGTACACTCCCGAACTTTGGAAGGCCATTTTATGAAAAAAAAAATCGACTTATAATCTTCAACATATAGTAGTAGTTGCTAATAATGTAGATAGCATAAATTACTACATTTCTTGGCCTATTAGTAACGTAGCATATGTTTAACCCAAAGTAGTGGTGCCATAATGGATCAATTTTAGACAAGGACTTTGTGAGGGCCAAGTAAGTAAAAATGTCAAGAAGTTTCCATGCCTTGTTTAGCGGAGTTGTAGACAGTTTACCTGTGCAGAGTTGCAATGATAACTCCGCACAGCTTCAAAGTAAGCTCGTCGAGAGAAAAAAAGTGCCTATAGCTTGGCATGAGCCAAAGTGAAAAATGAACAAGTTTTCCGATTTCCCTCAGATGTGAAACAGCACAAAGGTAGGCCCCCCCTCTCGCTAGCCCATCAAAAGCATGGCAGATGACCTTGCTCTTGGTCGGGGATCCTCCACGGCTGGACCACATGGACTCGACATCCGAGGAAGCGGCAGCCTGCTCCATGCGCCAGTAGAGGTCGTAGAACTCCGGCACCCGAGGCCGCTCTGCTGAAAGAAATTTTAGAGAACGGCTACAAGATCAAATTTTCCAGCGTTCATTCTGCCTTGTATGTCAAGGTGTACATGTTTGACAGCAACTATTCAGGCACATTTGGAGAGTTTGTGCTTAGTCATCACAACCACATTAGTGCAGTCTACTAAACTAGATGCACGTGAACATGTATGTATGGAGCGTTTTGCAAAGCAAATATTAATCCCTGGTTCGTGCCACTTTTGTCGCGCAAATGAGTGGAATTCTCGGCACAAATTGAACGCCATTCTTGTTATGCCTACAGATCTTTTCACAGGAGACGAAAAAAAAAAAAAATATTGCTATGTTGGGCAAAGCCAGACAACGCTGCCTCGGCAGTGTGAGTTTTGTGGAGTCGCGCCTACTAAGCGCAGCCTAGAGAGGACTATGGTGGCGCCCCGGGGGCAGCTTGTGAAAAAGGTTTATACAAAAGCAAAATCCGACAGAAGCAACGCTCAATGAAGAAGTCCAGCTCATATTCCTATACGTGCAACAGGAAGCTTTAAAGAGCATTAGGCCTAACGAGTTGCTACAACTGCATACCAAAGTATGCCTGAAAAGCAGCCACGAGGACACAGTTCTTTGAAGTTGCCCTACCCCGCTCACTGCACGAAGCAGCTCAGCACAAAGTCCCAGCCGTATGTTGAGCCACAACACGAGAAAGCCTGGAACCCCCTCTTGTAGAGCTAAGGGACAGACCCTATTTACAGCAGTTGAGCGAATAGCAAAAATGTCGGCGCAAGGCAAATTGAAATATTAAATTTGAGTGCAAATCAACATATTTTATGAATAGCTGTCGAATATTTTTCAAATGCTTCTAGGTTAAAGCGCTGGCGGGGTGGTGTTTCATAGTTGTGTTATCAAGAATAAGGCAATGCAGAGGCCGAATTGTACTTATGTACACAATTTTGTGCAACCAAAGTGTTTCCAACAACATTTTACAAGTGAAAGGCAACGATGTTATTTCCTCAGCCTATCCTCCTCTTAGAACTTTCGTGGAAGCCCAAATTATTTGGCGAACAAGGGCATGCTCCCTTCAAAATCAGAGTTTCTCATGCCTTATAGACATTAATGTATAAAAACATAAGTTTGGATCCCGAAAGTCATCGTCCGACTTTTTTCAGATTTTCCACACAGAACCTTCCGGCCATGGATTCTGCGACGTTACACCAACAACATCCACAGATTGCATGCATACCACCCCACAGCATACAGAGACATATGCCCGTGGTATGGAAGCACACCGGTGCTCTACCGCATCACGTGGGAATGTACGGCACACACCGAAGAACAGGAAGGGGACAACAGCAGAGAGATGTGGGAGGCAATGCTGTCCAGCCCGGCCCTTGAGGACCAACGGAGGCTGGTCAGGAGGGCTGAAAGGATGGCTAGAGCCAGCGGTGCCTTGGAATAGAGGCCCGACCACGCGGCGTTGCCCCATTTTAGTGTCAACTGAAGTCTTTTTCGCAAATAAAGTTTTGTTATTCTGGCCTAAAACTACATTAATCAAAGCCCACACTTTGAACACACAGGTTCAATCCAGCGCTTTTGTGAAATGATCCGCTTACAGTCATAACCGAACCTTGAAAATTGCTTTGCCACAATACCGAAGCGTAATGCGGTGAAGTATATAAAAATATAAAAAGGCCATTGTAATGGCATAGTGTATCTCAAATGTCGGAACCAGCATTTTTTTTAAGTTAATACATTTGCAATTAAAGCAGAATTTAAGAGGCAGCTTTGCCACCGTGTGAAAGTGCGATGAGCTTAAGCATATAAAATAATCTGAAAGGGCCACTGCCAATCTGACGATTGTATTTGTCTGAGAAGTTCGAGTAATTACAGTGCGAATTGAATCAAATAGCAAACACTATTAGAAAAATATTGGAAAGTTTGCATATTCGCGCACCCCTAATATTCCACATAAAAACTGGCCACCCACAAAGATATCCGACACCCTCAATTCAAGCTTCCCTATGCACTATGGGCTATGTACCTTGATCTCTAAGACTGCAATTATGCAACTCACCATAGAGATGTGCAACTCGAAAACAAAGGGCTCAACCTGCTGATAAGTATAGAAACCATTGCCTAGCTGTAGTGGTGTAGCCATTAGTTTTCCTTTTTTTTTGTGGTGTGTGTGTGTGCACGTGCACATTTGCATATGTTCTCAGGAGGACTTTCGGCCCCTGAAATGAGACGCACCTGGCCTCTTGACCTCGTGGTCAACTGAGGGTGCCTGCTTGGGCCTCGGCTCAATGGAAAGTGCGTGTAGCTCTTCTTCGAGCTTTATGCCAGCGGGTGGTGATCTCCGAGGGAGCATAGGGGCTGGCTGCTGCTGTGGCCGGTCTTGCTCTCTTTCGTCTTCGGCCTGGCCAATCTCGGGGGCTGCTTCCTCGGGCTCCTCATTTTCCTTTTCCTCTTCCTCCTCTTCGCCTACCTGCACCTTTTCCTCAGAGCTGCTGCTGCTCCTTGACTTCTGGTTCACCTGCACAAGAGCACAACTCATCAATGACTGATGTGCTGCATTTGACGACGTGGTAGGAAAGACAACACATCAAAACACTCGAGAGGTTCCAAATGCGACAACGAAATACTAGGTACAATGACGCTATAGCGAGCAGGCAGTAAGAAAAATCCAAGCACAGCACCGACAACTTGAACACTCTTAACCTTAAGGGGACCTGCAACAGTTTTCCAAGTAGCCATGGAATGGATTCACTAGAGGAGCTTATAGCCTCACAATTCACCGCCACAAATATTTTAGGATCTGTCCAGTATAAGCGGAGTTACAAGGATTTGTCGCACCCTGCAAATTAATTCTCTCTTCTGTCGTCCCGAGGAAAGTGTAGGAAGCTAAGCAGGGAGGGATGGCACGGGGGAAGAAAAGACTTCAAGCGTGCCTTGTGACCTTGAGTACCTTATTGTTCCTCAAATACACGACCTTCCAGTGTGATCGTACACACACAGGTAAACAAGTCGCAGCCTCCTGTAGCTGTCCCAGTAAAAACCAAGCATGCCATGCTCAAGTCAGCCAATGTCAGACAATTGACCTGCGAATGAGTTTTGAGCCTGTAGCATCATCTGTTGAGAGAAAAAGAGCGATTTCTCGCTGACTGAGAACAAATGGTCAGTTCCAGGCCATGTGCTGCACTATAGTATTTGGCTCGTGTGTTCTTGGGAGTCGTGATTGCCCATCGGCAGCTTTTATTGCAAAAAAAGTATAAATGTACAATTTCGCTATTTCAACAACAGTCCACGAGATGTTTTTAACTCTATTTCAACAAAAACATCTGATCCTGAAATGAGCAAACACCTCATAATTCAAACATAGCTAGCCATATAACACGCATTTAAAACCAATGGTGACAGCAACCCGCCGCTCAAAAAGCTGCAGCATTGTGTCTATGGGGTGCTTAACACTGGATGTATTGGAAGAACCATTATAGTCAGTCCTATCGGACTCAAACACATGTTCGAATAATTTGGGAAAGGCTAATTTCAGGATTGAAATAAAAGTTTTGTCTCATGTGTAACAGGCAAGATTTCCTAACAAGGTCAAATAACCTGGGGTGCTATTGCAGAGCAATGCCTTCGATGCCTTTTATGCTTTTCACTCCTGATCAATGGCCCCATTGATAAGCAGACGGTTGGTGAGCAAGAGTGAAAAGCATAACACAAGGGGCGCAGTGGCTACATGATTAAAAGTACATTTACTTTAATTAAAATAAATTGCTAATTCTTCATCACAAAAGCATCATTTCACCAAGCTTCGCACTCCTCAAATTTCTTAAGAGTTTCCCTTGACATCTCACACTGTTAAGAAGATTCATTCGTGCACACGCAAGGATGAAGAAACAGCCACTAACCTCATGCTGCATTGTTGGCCCAAGTGACTCTTTCTGCAGCGTCTCATATCTAAAGATGAAGCTTCTGCATCTTACGGCTGCAACAAAGAGTTCCAAAACACATCAACACACACTTCTAGAAATTCACAATCTGCTCGCTAACAAAAAAACGTCATGAAATAGAATGACTGTACTAAAGTGCTTATTTGGGCCGGTTGGTACATGGTCAACGAAGTGAAAAAAACAGCGCGTAACACAGGACACAGGACAGAGAAGAGACGGACGAGGCGCTGACTTACAACCAAAATTTATTTCGTACAGGGGTGTATATATAGCACACGAAACTTGAAAAAAGAGGGAGAGAAGTCGAGTGACATGAAAGAGTAATTTTCGTTATGATTGTATGCGTATAACAAATAAACTGTGATTGCGCAATCATTCGCTTGTCAAATACGCCAATTCCCTGGTGAGGAGCGTTATCGAAGGTGCACTGACACACATATCGCCTTTCTTGATTATGCAGAATGCCTCATAAATCTCACGTGTCCTTTTATCTCTGTAGCGTCGAAGTATCTTGCATTTGTCAAACAATGCACGGCATCCACAAATGGAGCTGTGCGCAGCTAAGTGGCTGCCAACAGAACCCCGCATTAGATTGCGGTGTTCCCTGAGGCGGTCATTTATACAGCGGCCAGAATGCCCAATGTAACAGCGGCCGCAAGAGAGGGGAATTTCATAAATGGCACAAAAACAACATTCAACAAACTTGATTGCGTGTTTTTTATCACACACGCGAGGCCCTCTGTCCTCTCTGTTCACCTGATGGCACATACTAGAGAACTTATTTCTGGCTGAAAAAACAACTCTGATTCCAGCTTTTTGTGCTACCTTTTTTAAACAATGTGACACCTTATGCAAGTAAGGAATGACTGCTGTTCTTGAAAAAGAACTTTTTTCTTGACCACTAGTCGGTTCGGTTAGCTGTTTGATGTCTTTTAAGATACTTTCAGCTATGGAACACAGTATGTTATCCGGGTACCCTGCCTTGCGCAATCTGCGCACCTGTGACTCAAAACTAGTACACAATGTGTGATGGCAAGACCGCATCAGGGCCGCCTTTAGACAGGATTTTGCAATCGCTCGCTTTACAAGTTTTGAATGCGCAGAACTGTAGGGTAGCAAACTTTTTTTGGAGCGGGGGGCATACTGCCAGCACACGTGGTCGGACAAAAAACTTCAATGTCAAGGAACCGGAGTTTGTTAGCAATGGGGAATTCAGTGGTTAGTTGCAGTGAGCCCAAGCAAGTGCGAAACACATCAACAATTTGATCAGCACGTTGCTGAGCTTCAGAGTGGTTGGACCGGTACAAAATCAAGAAGTCATCAACAAATCTAAACACTTTCACGGCGCTCGTCAGTTGTAGGCAATTAATGAGAGATCTGTCATATTTGGCTAAAAGAATGTCACTTAGGATCGGGGCGAGACAGGAACCTATGCAAACACCTTCTTTTTGAATATAAAGTTTGTCATCATGCTTTATAAATAAAATAGAATGACACATTCCCTTTCTTCCCACAGCATCGAGCGAACTAAATATTTCTGTTTTCGCAAGTGCATGCTCAGGTGGCATCCATCCTGCCTAATATAAAAACACCAGGCCTGTGCAAAAGGTGCAGCACCGTCAGAGCGAAAGCTAGAAAAGCAGCCTTTCAGAGCGCCTTCTAAATACTCAATGGGTAACTGCTGCAAGCACACAAGCTTGATACCCACTATAGCATTAATAATAAAAATTTTAGGTTAGTAGGCCGGCATTCCCTATGCTATTTTTCGTCATTCTCAGAAGCGTAGTATCCGCAAAACATTTGCCAGGAATTTTTTGCCAATTGTTCATGCAGCAGCTGACGACGATGAGGAACTATGCCTGAAGTGGGTGTGCGCCACAGTTAATAGAACAAGAACAAGCTTTCGTAATGGGTTGGAGGATTGGACGGCCCACTCGTTACGCTACTCGCATTGTGCAACGACTGGTTGTTCTTTCCCTGTTTTAAAACGCTTTTAAGTCATATTACCGCGATTGCTTTGCCGACGTAAAGACTGCCTAAGGCAAGTTTACCAAAAAGTCACTAACACTGGCGTAGCTCAGTGGTAGACAACTGGGCTGGCACCCAGCAGACCCGGGTTCGAATCCCACTGTGTCATTGGCACTAGGGTTTTCTTATTTCCTGTGACAAAGGTTATGGACACCGGCGGAGGCGGCGCTGCGAGAGACCCGAGTTGTGATCCAACAGCTTTCGCTGTAATACGCTGTTGCAAGACAATGGTATGCAATAAACAACATTTGCTCGACAGTTAGTAAAATGATTGATATCACAACTCTACTTTGCAACTGCTGCAATTTTCGACGGCGAAT